TCAACAGACTTGGTTAGGGAGTGTGTATATATACTGTAAACTGTACATATTTTTTATGTGTTAATATCGTCGACACGAGTAACTTAACCTTGCACTCACCTGAATGACACGCATTACAGAACCCACCATGTGGCATATGGAAATTGGTCTCACACATTGTTTCCATGGGAATCGAACCCGGAACTTAGGCTATAACAACTAGACCACCCTACCGCCCTTTTGGGAAGTGCGCTGTCCGGTTCCGAATTATAGGTCGGGGCCAAAATATCTCCTCAATGAATACAGGGAATGTACTTGTTCGTGTTTTGTTTGTTTGTTTGTTGTTTCAGCTATGTGACGGCGGTCTGTAAATAATCGAGTCTGGACCAGACAATCTAGTGATTGACATTGGAATACGATGACATGCATCAATCACCCGAGCCTGACCACCCGATCCCGTGAGTCGCCTGTTTCGAAAAGCATAATCGTCTTTTACGGCAAGCATGGGTTGCTGAAGACCTTTTCAACTCCGGATCTTCATGGGTGAGATCTCCGATTGAGACACATTAGTGTACATGTACTTTACACAACAGATACATCTGTGTTTATGCTTATGTCAGCATACAGTGGATAGTCGCATTTGTTTACAGTACATATACACGACAGACGCATTAGTCTATGAAATCTTGTGTTCCACAATACACCTCTCTCCCTTAAAATTAAAACAAATATTTTTTCTGATATCATTTTGCAGATATCATAGTGGAATAGTGCTAGATAGAGCTGGCTAGACACGCTTTGCATATAATTCTAAATTTGACTAATATATATAGTCCTGCACCATGACTGTGGAATATATTTATTTTATGAAAACAAAACAAATTGGTGTCTATATATGGCAGAAGTCTATTGATGACAGGGGCGGTTGGGTAGCCAAGTGGTTAAAGCGTTAGCTCGTCACGCCGAAGACCCGGGTTCGATTCCCGACATGGGTACATTGTGTGAAGTCCATTTCTGGTGTCCCCCGCCGTGATATTGCTTGAAAATTGCTAAAAGCGGCGTAAAACCATACTCACTCACTCACTAAATATTCGGGTTGATATAACATAGAAACTATTCACTCAAACTGAAAGCCTGGCCCCACACCTTCCGCAATACATTACAACGTTCAGTTTTGTCATTCTGAAATGGAACAGTTTTAACTGGTATAGGGAAGCTGTATAGTCTCCGAAGAGTTATGTCCCTTAGATGTTAGACCGGTAACCGATCTATTGCTGTGACGTTACGTTCAAATGCATAAATAAATATTCACACATGTATTAAACAGCACCGGATATATACAAGCGTGTGTCTACTTTAGTCATTTAGTTAGTTAATACCAAATCCAAGAATCTTAAACAGATATATACTTTAAGTGGCTATATGGTATTCTGGTTGGTTGGGAAGGAGAAGGAGGATTGAATCTCTGGTGATTGTTTGAGACGAAATATTTTTACAATCAGCACTTCAAGCCAAACAGAATTGGTTTACGCACCCGATGTCAAGTGAACAGTTTACTTTAAACAATCATCCCAGCACGATCTCCCATCCACCAACTCAACGCTGGACCATGAAGATTCCGGGGTAGAATGGGTCTTCAGCAACCCATGCTTGCCGTATAAGGTGACTATGCTTGTCGTAAAAGGCGACTTACGGGATCGGGAGGTCAGGCTTGCTGACTTGGTTGATGCATGTCATCGATCCCATTTGCGTGGATCGATGCTCATGATACCAATCACTGGATTGTCTGGTCAAGGACTCGATTATTTACGGACCGCCGTCATATAGCTGGAATATTGCTGAGTGCGGCGTTAAACAACAAACCAACAAGCCAACCAACCAACTCAACGCTGGACCGTGAAGGTCCGGATAAGAATAGGTCCTCAGCAACCCATGCTTGTCTTAAGAGGCGACCAACGGGATCGGGTGGTTCGATACTCATGATGTCAATCACAGGATTGTCTGGTCCAGGCTCGATTATTTCGAAGACCGCTGTCATATAGCTGGAATACTGCTGAGTTGCGGTGTTAAACAACAAACAAACAAACTTAACGTTACTTAACTTAATTGTCCACAGGACACTTTTCGTTTTTGTTTATTTGTTTATTTGTTGTTTAACGCCGCACTCTGCAATAGTCTCCTTTTACAGCAGACAGGAGAAAGCATGGTCTGTAAATATCTGCTCTAGTGTTAAAGACCCGTGAAGATCCGGGGTAGAATAGGTCTTCAGCAACCCATGCTTTCGGTAAAAGGCGACTATGCTTGTTGTAAGAGGCGACTAACGGGATCGGGTGGTCAGGCTCGCTGACTAGGTTGATGTAGTCAGACAAAATTTGTTTAGCCATCAATCTCGGCAGTACTCAGGGAATGCATAGCTTTAATGTGACCTTCTCCACAAATGCATTATGCATGCTGCTGCAACAAATTGGTCTGTGATACGCCTAGAGATGAGGATGAAATAGTCTCGAACTATCAGGGGACAGGAGGCTCTTGTTTATCGATATTATATATCTGTGTAATAAATGGTGGGTTGGTGGGTAATTGTACAGAAACTATATTTCAAAAATACATTTACATAAACATTTTCCTGACAAATATCTATTCGCTGTCTGACGGGATGGAAGTCGGACAAAATGGCGGGCTCTGTGTCTCTCCGGACTCTGATTGATCAATCATGCTGTATGATTGACAGGTGGCGATTGGTTATGTACCACACCCAAGGCGAGTCGTTCCAAACTATTGCTTATTAAATATAATGACTGACCACTTGACCTTTTAGCATGCCATACAGGATGATGACGAGATGTGTATTTAAGTATGGCATAAATGGCATTGAGCTCCTTAACGTGGACTATCAGGTGAGCAGGTCTTGTTCTTAGGAGACCTTGCAAGGCAAGTTGGACAAAATATTTACATTGATATCAATGAGTGAGTGAATGTTGTTTAACTCCGCAGTCAGCAACATTAAACAATATGGCGGTGTGTTGAATCGAAACAAGGCCGGACAAACCAGTGAGTGATATTATGAACACGCTCCACGCTGTCAGGGGGCGATAACAAACTATGAACCAAGCCACAATCCAGGGTAGCTGCTCGTTTCACAAGAAATATGATACGGGGGCCTATTCTGACCTGGGCCCCACGCGCTGTACTCTTAATATAACATCGCAATACAAAAATAAAATAGCCCCAAATATGGAATTTAGTGACAATTAAAACCCTCGTTCCCACGTGAATCAAGCATGTTGTTGTTAAGTTGGTAATTTGAGGTCATTAGGTACAGCAGTTAAATCCGACTCAATGTTAATTACATCATTGGACACGATATGGCTGAAATATTGCCGATGTGACTTTAAATTCTAACTCACTTACATCATTGGAGTGAGTGAGTGAGTATGGTTCTACGCCGCTTTTAGCAATATTCCAGCAATATCACGGCGGGGGACACCAGAAATGGGCTTCACACATTGTACCCATGTCGGGAATCGAACCCGGGTTTCGGTGTGACGAGCGAACGCTTTAACCACTAGGCTACCCGACCGCCCCTACATCATTGGAAAACTGAAGCCTCGTCAAAGACAGAAACATCCTATTTGTCATGGTCCGATGATAGGTGGGTGGATGGTTCTTGGTTTTCATACACTTTATTAATAATGTAGAGTATGTGGGGGTCACGAGTGGCTAGTGGCTACCGCTGTGCAGAGTTGTGTCCCTTAGTCACAGCTTAGCCTGCGACCGTTGGTTTGAATCCCACATACCCTGATTCGTTTTGAGGTTTGTCTGCACCATATTACTGCTATAGGGTTACACCAAAACGGTAAATGTCTAAGACCTGCATTACGTCAGGCTTTCTTCCCACATCAGGATGATGTGACTGAAATACGTTTCAATGCGTTAACCCCAACTCTCTCACTTCATGATCAATGTGTTTTATCAGACGAGCATGTGTGAAAAACAACACATTAAGAACAGTCACAAAAGTTTAATACATTTTGTAAAAAACGAAAATCGGGTAATAAAATACAAGTAGATGTATGTACAAAAACTTGAAATTCAACGCAAATGAATTTGAATCACCATACACATCGTTTCATAATCAACTCAGTAAACATAAACGAGCTTATCATAAACACATGGATACTGAAATATAATACAGCTCTTGAGTTAAGTCAGCGTTCGTGAAAACTCGATAAGATGTGAGCTACAAGTTGGTACGTTTTCTTACGGAATCATGACATTGTCATGTTCGAAAATCTCGAACGCCCATTCAAATTGTGTTTGTTTGTTTGTTTACTGTTTAACACCGCAATCAGCAATATTCCAATTATGACAGCGGTCCGTAAATAATTGAGAATGGACCAGACAATCCAGTGATTGACATCATGAGCATCGACCCATGCAATTGGGATACGGTGACATGCATCAACAAAGTCAGCGAGCCTGACCACCCGATCCCGTTAGTCGCCCCTTACGACAAGCATAGTCGCCTTTCACGGCAAGAATGGGTTGCTGAAGACCGTTTCTACCCCGGATCTTCACGGGACTTCAGATTGTGTAGAATTGTGTCAACTTATGGAAAATACCTACATGTAGACTTTTGATCCATATATTGAAAACATATCTAATTCAAAAGTCAACGAAATCTTTACCGGTAATTGTGCTTAAGAGTGAGTGAGTGAGTATGGTTTTACGCCGCTTTTAGCAATATTCCAGCAATATCACGGCGGGGGACACCAGAAATGGGCTTCACACATTGTACCCATGTTGGGAATCGAACCCGGGTCTTCGGCGTGACGAGCGAACGCTTTAACCACTAGGCTACCCGACCGCCCCTAATTGTGCTTAAGAACCTCCCTATTCTGAGATCACTAAATTTATTATCATTGTATTTGCACAATGTTTGCAATGTTGGTACAATGTTTACATAGTTGTCATTAGGGCATTGACCTTCCAAGATGAGAACTATTATATCAGAGATATAATCGATCATTAAATGTATTTTATTTATATTCTACTTTCATAAATACCCTGGACCCATTTGTTTCGATTGTTTCGAAGTTAGGCCGTTTCGAATTGTTTCGACGCTTAAAATAGCCACACAGTCAAATTACGTCAGATGACGTCACTTCCGGAACGTATCTGGTGGCGAATGGGACCAAGATATTTATTATAAGCAAACAGAGATATAACACCCTGGATAACCGAGGGTGGACTTATCTGTTGATAGTGACAGGCTTCAAATGTCATGGAATGACGTCACCCTTGGTTCACGTCATACTTGTGTGACGTCATAACAAACAAATTGATTCCTTCCAAAGTGCCCCATTTGTGATACAGATTCATACAGTGAAATGCACACTCATTTCAAACTGGTTTGCAGGATTGTAGCAAATACACTTATCTCTCACTAATAAAAATACGTTTGTCGGATACAAAATTACTTATTTAATCATTCACTTTGTTAGTAAGAAAATACGTCCAACTGACGACAAAAGCGTTGTATTATACATTCACATTGAGCATTCTTGAGGGTTTAAACGTTTGTCAACACTTACTCGTTGAAACTCGATTGTTTTCGTAAGCTAAACAATAACCAAATATGTTTGCAGGGTCAGTATATCTCCCCAATGACTTGCACACAGACACTACATATTAGGGGTTCAGCCCTTATCGATCCGCTTTCGGTTCACTTCGGTTCGCTTTAATTTCGCTATCGGATCGCTTTAGGCTGGCAGTCGGCTCGCTTTAGGTTGGCTGTCGGCTCGCTATCGGATCGCTTTAGGCTGGCTGTTGGTTCGCTACCGGATCGCTTTAGGCTTGCTGTTGGTTCGCTACCGGATCGCTTTAGGCTGGCTGTTGGTTCGCTGTCGGGTCGCTTCGGGCTGGCTGTCGGTTCGCTTTAGGTTGGCTGTCGGCTCGCTATCGGATCGCTTCGGGCTGGCTGTCGGTTCGCTATCGGATCGCTTTAGGCTGGCTGTCTGTTCGCTACCGGATTGCTTTAGGCTGGCTGTCTGTTCGCTACCGGATCGCTTTAGGCTGGCTGTCGGTTCGCTATCGGATCGCTTTAGGCTGGCTGTCGGTTCGCTATCGGATCGCTTTAGGCTGGCTGTCGGTTCGCTATCGGATCGCTTTCGGTTGCCTTTCTGATCGGGATCGACTACTGACTACTATTCGCTTTGGTCGTAACCCAGTCGTATAATACTGAAATATTCATGTTGTATAATGTGTAGCTTCTCACTCGTTACTGACATAACATGATATTATGTCCTGTCCGAGATGTCGACATTACCTTATGCAAATGCATGATTTTCAAGCCATCAAGACCATTCGTGACCACTCGTGTCATTCCGAGACAAGCTGAATGTTACGGAAAAAGACGAGTGCTGACGAATACCAACACGGCCAGTGAGACGTTCCGGTACGCACAGATTGGAGAGGCCAATTTGGCGACGAAAACAATTTTCAATTTTGAATTGTCTTAAATCCTCAATAAGGAAAATAGACACAAATATGCATGCAGAAAGATGTCGTTATTTGCATGACCATAATGTTTAAGTGTTATTATATTACAAATGCCATTTTAAACAAGACGACGTCCATGAGTTCTCTGTACTGAAGAAGGTAGATCTTCAAACGAAAATCCGAGCACTAATGGGAGTACCTGAAAGAATGAAATGTATCAATATTGATGAGAAATGTAAACATGCATATGTCTGTATAGATTGTAATACATTTGACTGGATGGCAGCAAGATGATAATGAAGACTTGGTTGTTTCCTATAAATGTCAGACTCGAGTTTAGAATAATAACTCGACGTAATTAAAATGCATTACTGGACACATTTTCTGTGGATCCCTTTAAACTTTTGAAATCGCGGTACTTGTATTATCCGATGGAAAATATCAGAAAAGAGACAGACTGGAAAATTTTAAAAAAATAAGGTACTGAGCACGAAGGTATCGGATCGATGTATGGAGCTTAGTAACCTAAGGTGACCTTTCTGCATACTTATCGCATCGTGGTACCATGTTTTATTCGGATTGATTTTTCGCATAATACTCTCTATTAAGCAGTAAAACTGAATCACTTGTTTCTTCAATGCTTAACAAGATTGTTAACACTGGTTCTTCCATCACCCCTGAATACAAACGTCTACATTGTAGTGTAGTTGCTACGTCAAACCAACCAATCAAGAAACGGTGGTCTTAGCGAGAGAAAGAACAGCAAGTATTCAGACCAATGAGCGCTCAGTTTACAGCGCCTTGCGGCCTTCTGCTCCACACACTGCCTCATTGTCGGGCAATAGGGCCCGCACAAAGTTAACGTGCGGATTAGAGTTGGTGTGATATTTTGGCCTCATTTCTTTAGCTAAATTGAGTGAGTGACTGAGCATGGTTTTAAGCCGCTTTTAGCAATATTCCAGCAATATCACGGCGGGGGTACCTAACATGGGCTTCACACATTGTTCCCATGGTGAGTCAAACCCGGGTCTTCGGCTTGACAAGCGAACACTTCAACCACAGGACTACCTCATCGCACCCTTCAGCTCAGAAAAAAACCATTACTCCGTATGTATTCACTAGGGTTTTGACGACGAATCACACAAGGCTTATAATCTCTGTTATCTTCATGGTACAATAACCTAGATGACACAGTTTGCAATTTGGGGGAAAAAACCCAAGAGATTTGATTTTCTTACACTGAGTCAACATAAGAAGCAGTCATCAACTGACATAAGTTCACCTCACATTAAATTACTAGCTTCCGATATGTGGAGTGGGCAATTATTTTCCCCGTAGCCCGCTGAGAAATCACATCGCAGGAAAGTCTTTGAAAGGCATTTATAACTGATAGTCTTAAGGAAGTGAATTTACGGATGTCAACTTCTTTATTATGAGGAACACAACGTTACGTAGTGTATACTTACTCCTTCATCATTAACCTGATGAAGGAGTAAGTATAAACTCCGTAACGTTGTGTTCCTCATAACAAACAAGTTGACATCCATAAATTCTCTTCCTTACATCGTAGGTAACTTGCATATCTCGAATAAGTATTGAGTTGAAATAAACCGATGTTTATCCGATTGCACTGGGCAAAGGGAAGTAACTCGGTTCTCTTACGTGTTCGGTGAAACTGCGGGCTCATATACATGTTTTTCCTCAGAGCCTGGCGGCTCGGGGTACACAGCTTCACACTCAGGGTACATTACACCATATACCATTCGAGATCGGTTGACAACTTGTCATGCCGCTAAAACGTAGGCCAATTAGCCCATTAAGGATGGGGGCGGTCGGGTAGCCTAGTGGTTAAAGCGTTCGCACGTTACGCCGAAGACCCGGGTTCGATTCCCGACATGGGTACAATGTGTGAAGCCCATTTCTGGTGCCCCCCGCCGTGATATTACTGGAATATTGCTAAAAGCGGCGTAAAACCATACTCACTCACTCACTTACTCACTCACCCATTAAGGATGATTGTGTGCTTATAAGAAGTCAACTGTACTTACCCCTCTCTTCTGATAGCACAGCACAACATCATGGCAAACATCATTCCCACAAGCTGTGAAGTAAACAAGTTATAACAGTTCATTGCGGGGATACAAGGGGATTCCGGGTAAAAACAGATCCCCAGCAGACTCTGCAGGAGGTAAAAGATGACTTATGAATCGGCTGGTCAGACGTCGTACCCTGTCGTTGCTCATTATGTCAATCACTGGATTGTCTACCCCAGATTTTATTATTTACCGGCCGCGGTATTACAGCTAAAATATTGCTATGTGCGACATTATACAAGAAACAAACACATATTGTATTGGTTATTGTGGGCTGAATTGTTATAGAATATATAACAACAGAAGGGCACTGCTATTGAATGTTTGTTAGTTTGTTGTTTAACGCCGCACTCAGCAATATTCCACATATATGACGGCGGTCTGTAAACAATTGAGTCTGGATCCAGTCACAATCCAGTGATTGACACCTTGAGCATCGATCGACGCAATCGATCAACCACGTCAGCGAGCCTGACCACCCGATTCCGTTAGTCGCCTCTTACGACACGCATAGTCGCCTTTTACGGCAAGCCAAGGTTGCTGAAGACCTAGTCTAGCCCGGATCTTCACGAGTCGCAATTGAATGCAATACTTTCGTGATAGTAGAATCAGTACCTTTGCCACAATGTGCATATCCAGGCAACATTTTACTGTATATAAAAGCCTACCACGTCCATCGTTTTCCTGGGTTTAACAGATTGCTGGGTATACGTTTCGAAATCGCTAAATGAGCAGGAAAAACATTTATGTGTCGAAAGGGCTGAGTTTAGTTTCGAGAAGCGTTTTGAGCTGATGCTCTAAAGACATATAGGTCATGTAGGTTTGTTTGTTTGTTTGTTTGTTTTTTAACGCCGCACTCAGCAATATTCCACATATATGACGGCGGTCTGTAAATAATCGAGTCTGGAACAGACAACCCAGTGAGTGACATCATGAGCATCGATCCACGCAATTGGGAGACGATGACATGCATCAACCAAGTCAGCGAGCCTGACCACCCGATCCCGTTAGTCGCCTCTGTGGGTGAAAGATTGACTAAGTAATGCTTTATGCTTTCAGCAATATTCAAGCAATATCAGGGCGGAGGACACTTGATGTGGGAGGAAAGCACGAAGTGATGAAGTTCTTAGAAAAAATGCCCACAAGAACGCGTATGGTGCAGACAAACCCAAAAACATTATCAGGGTGAATCTGGGATTCGAACCGATTATAAGTTTCTGATGGACGGAACTCTGACACTCCTTTCTCAAAGTTGCTTAATAATTGATCTCAGTGTTGTTTTCACAATAGTTGTATACACAAATCGGTGATATGTTATCAATTATTTCACTGTCCTTTGTTGACAGGTCTTTCAGTAAATAAAAATGCATTAATTTGGTCATGTGCCGATGTGACTTACAATTTTAACTCACAACAAATACTTTACTCACCAAAGGCAGCGCAAATACTATTGGGATGCAGATAATTAGTGTCGTGTAAGATTCAGGGACAATCTTGTCAAGACATGGCTGCAAATAAAAAGGAACGATCAAGGTTACAAAAACCGTGTATCGATCATGACATATGACACGTAAGTAGGAAATGCTTTTAAAGGGCAAGTTCACACGGAAATGAACCTATTTTTCTTGTACTTTTTCCACATTAAAAGTGTTAACCTAGAAGTGTCAAAGACAAAAATATAAAAATATCACTAATAATTGACATATTTTTTGCATAATGGCTTATGCCCCTTACAATATGACGTCATTGGTGTTAATTGATAAACATTATGACGTCATCATGCTTTGTTAGAGTCGCTTCACGTGGTGTAGGTACAGGTGTGTGATTCTAGCGTCTCAGATGCCAGCCAGCATAGTGTTATGCTGAGTCACCACTGCGCCGGAGTGTGTCGTAGGCCATGTTGTTTTACCACAAACTGGTACTTGATATCTTTTGCGTTGAGAATAGACAGGGACCCAGTTGAATTGGCACCAATTACGTCATAATCTAAGGGGGATAACTCAGGCCTGTTTAGCTCGAAAAATGAAGGCCTCATAACGGCATATCATTTTCACACTATTGAGAGCTTCCTACTTTCACTGTGAAAAAAATGAGTGTATGTTTTCAAACACAGATACTAACTAATTCTAAAATTGCGTTTTGTTTAGAAAGATGGAAAGTGATTTTTGTGTGTACACTTCCCCTTTAAAGATATATGATCACAGTTTGTGTTCACAGGTCTAATAATGAATCGCACGTTCAGGCTCGGCTGAAGACTGATTATACTGTACTCGTCAGACGTTGGTGCTGAGGACTACTGACGTTGACGTTGGCACAACGGACTACTGACGTCGACGGAATTGACGTTTGATGTGCTGTACAGATGTTGCCGTTGACCTAGTGGACAACTGATATTGGCTTTGTGGAGAACACATATTGAAGTTGGTGTCATTTACAACTGACACTGGCATTGTGGGTAATTGACATTGGCGTAGTGGACACCTTAAGTTGACGTAGTGGACATCTGACGTTAACATAATGAATAACTGTCTAATGACGAGTCAACAAACGACTAGGTGTAGTGGATAACTGACGCTGACATTGTGGACATTGAACGTTGACATAGTGGATAACTGACGTTGACTTAGTGGATAACTGACGTTGATGTGGTGGACATCTAACGTTGACACAATGGACATCTAACATTGACCTAGAGGATAACTGACGTTGCGTAGAAGATATCTGACGGTGACATACTGGATAACAGACGTTGAGGTGGTGGACATCTTAACATTGACACATTGGACACCTTACGTTAACAAAGTGGATAACTGACGTGACGTCGTGGACAGCTGGTGTTGACGTTGTAGACACTTGACGTTAACATCGTGGATAACTGACGTTGACATTGGCATAGTCGACATCTGACATTGATGTAGTGGACACTTGACGTTAACATCGTGGATAACTTATTTTGTCATTGGAATAGTCTATACATGTTGCTGGCGTTGACGTACTGAACAGCTGACGTTGACGTACTGAACAGCTGATGTTGACGTACTGAACAGCTGATGTTGACGTAGTGGACATCTGATGTTGACGTCGGGGACACTACTGTGATAAGTCATCAGTTCGGAAGGATCACGAAGTCACGATTCTATTGTTGTAACTTTATACCCATCACAAAACCTTGACTGGACAGTGATGACACAGAGAAGTGAGTGAGTGAATTGAGTTTAACGCCGCTTTGAACAATATTTCAGTAACATCATGGCGTGTCAGCTTCGTGTGGGAGGAAAGCCCGAAAAGGTGTAGGACAGAGCGGGTAGTGCTGACAAGTCTGGAAACACAATCATAGGTTTCTGGTCCTCCTTGGGGAAGCAACTTTGCACTGTGCATAGCGGAGCTTTAATCGATTGTCTCATCCGCATCTCTTGACACAGGGACGACTGCAGATGTGTAATCCCGAAGTGATGAAGTTACAAGGTAAAACTCCTCCAGCATAAGTTATAGATAAATGTGCCCTACTGTTCGTCATACCACTGTCAAATGTATAAGTGTACAAGTTTAATACTTACCGTATTGTAGTTTCTAAAGCTGCAGCTTGATGGCACTTGAAAATTGACGGTGTAATCAACAGCACCCATTGAGGAGCCGCAACAATCCAACTGCAACAAGCCGACAACAAATGTCAAGAAATATATGGTATGGGGAAGTTTACCCATTGGACAGTTATACCCTAAAAACTGCCCCCGAGGTCAACCTAGAATAACAAAAGCCACAAAACCCTTTCAAAATGCATCAGAAATCCCTGTTAAAAGCAGAGTCGATTGTACGATACCCACTAAATCAAAAGCATGTGTTTATGAATCACTATCAGTGTCAATACTATCAATACAAAGTGACCATGAAAACACCTTTTTGCTTTGTTTGTTTGTTTGTTGTTTAACGCCGCACTCAACAATATTCCAGCTATATGACGGCGGTCTGTATATAATCGAGTCTGGACCAGACAATCCAGTGATTGGGATACGATGACAGGCATCAACAAGTCAGCGAGCCTGGCCACCCGATGCCATTAGTTGCCCAACAAGCATAGTCCCCTTAAAGGAAGGCATGGGTTCCTGAAGACCTATTCTACCCCGGATCTTCACGGTCGTTGCGTTCCTATTCACTTAAACATTGCTGTACGCATATTTAAAAAGCGCTTTCATTTTAGATTGAACACTACAAATATAATGTAAAATAAATAAAGATATAAATTGTCACCTGATCTTGAATGGCATCCATGTACTCCATTGAGGCCCTGTCCGTGTTGTACGTGGCGACTCTCGCGTCAAGGTTTGTTTTAAAGAAGTTTCTAACCTGTAAAGGGAAAGAAGGTAACAAAGCTATGTAAGCTGGCGAGTTTGAAAATTTAATAAATGCTCATCGGTAATGTTTAAACCACATGTGGACTGGGCTCCTGTCTTCCTAAACGAGTTGACAGGAGGTGGCTGATTTCTCGTAGGCTGCGATTGGTCGACACTAAACTTAGCAGTCATTGGCCCTCGCCATGGCATGAAAACACAGAGTATGTAAATTTGTTTGTGAAGTAAAATTGTTCATTTATAACACAAAACAAATTTTCGAGGTGAAAAATCGAATGTCAAATATTAAAGTTTTTTTTTCAAATGCACTTTTTTAACGTTCTTGACATATGGCTGTATCAAATACTATATCCATACATGGCTTTAAGCCAAACTCACTCACTCACTCACTCATATTGTACAGTGCAATCACTCTGGGAAGACCAAATGCTTACCGTGCCAGATACCATGTCTTTCAGGATAAAAAGGCGAACTGCTAGCCCTATTAGAGACATGAAAATGACGGCCAAGCTGATGAAAAACTAGAACAGAGAAATAACAAACATAAATTGACAACAATGATCACTGACACGATCATCATCATAATCACCAAAATAGGCTCCTTCTATAATATTTGTCATTTTCATGATAAAGATAATCCTCTTCTAATACTGGGCTAGAAAGGGGGTCTAGTTGTCTGAGGCGCCGTAATTCGCTGTGCAGAGTTGCGTCCCTTGGACACGCCAGAAACCTATGATTGTCGGTTTGAATCCTGGTTCACCCCGATCATATTTCCAGGTTTGTCAGGACCATACCCGTGCTCGTGGGTTTAACCAAAAGTGGTCAACGTCTGAGACCTGCATCACTTCGGTCTTTTCTCCCACATTCAGCTGACACGCCGTGATATAACTGGAATACTAATCAAAGCGGCGTCAAAACCAAACTCACTCACTCACTCACTCGGATACAATTGTTATCATTGGTATTACCATCATCATTAGCACAATAATATCAATCTAAGTTTCAAGTGACTTCATCCGTTAAAACAAATAGAAGGAATAACGTGACCTTCGCCTTTTCTTTAGCAAAACACAATAACCTAATAACCATAATATACTACTCAAAAGAAATTAAGGACCACCCGATACTTTCATAATGCTGTAGTTAATCTGTCAAGCAATACAATAAGGCATTTACTACAGCAATCTCAAAGAATCGGGTGTTCTTTAAGTTGACAATGACAAAAGACAACTGACAATGTACGACAATAATCAACATTGGTACAATTATACTCCATTTTCATACAATTTTCATTTTTTATACATTTTAGAGGGACCCGTGAAGATCCGGGGCAGAATAGGTCTTCCGTGCTTGGCGACTATGCTTGTCGTAAGAGGCGCCACACGGGATCTGGTGGTCAGGCTCGCTGAATTGGTTGATGCATGTCATCGAATCCAAACTGCGTGGATCGATGCTCATGATGCCCAGCACTGGATTGTCTGGTCCAGACTCGATTATTTACAACAAAACTCGACATATTTTGACCTTGAAAAATGTCGCGTTGCCGCCCTTTGGTTTAAAAGGTTTTAATTTGTTCAATTATGGGACAATTAGTCAAAATCCCAAATTCTCGCCATGTCGAGCTTTTGTTAATTTGGTCATATTTTGTTGGATTTTGTAAAGGCGTCAACGAGAAAATGCGACAAAGTGACAATGACATACAGTTTGCGACGTACGTTTTACTTATTATAGCCCAACATGTACCCCAAACAGTTGCTACAAAATCTTTTTGTTTGTTTGTTGTTAAACGCCGCACTCAGCAATATTCCAGCTATATGACGGAGGTCTGCAAAATAATCGAGTCTTGACCAGACAATCCAGTGATTGACATCATGAGCATCGATCCACGCAATTGGGATCGATGACATGCATCGACCAAGTCAGCGAGCCTGACCACCCGATCCCGTTAGTCGCCTTTTACGACAAGCATAGTCACCTTTTACGGCAAGAATGGGTTGCTGAAGACCTTTTCTACCCCGGATCTTCACGGGACATCAGATTGTGCAGAATTGTGTCTACATATGAAAAATACCTACATGTAGACAGTTTATCGATATATTGAAAACATATATAATTCAAAAGTCAATCTTTACCGGTAATTGTGCTTAAGAACCTCCCTATTCTGAGATCACTAAATTTATTATCCTATTCTACCCCGGAATCTTCACGGGTCGCTACATGAGTTTTTTTTGGGGGGGGTTTAGCTACAAAATCTAAAAACTCACCGAAACAAGTAGACACTGACTCTCTCTGAGCGCTCCGCAACATCCGAAAAAACCAACAATAGTGATGATGGCGCCGATGACGATGCAGCCGTAGGCACCAAGGTAAGCCATTTCGATCTTGTCATCCTCCATATAACTATTTATATTCGGGTCAAGTCTGAACCAAATACCAATGGCAAGAAGCGCAAGACCAACGACCTGAAACAGAAACAATATCATTCAAACATGACATAACATGACTTTCTCATCAGTGAGTGAGTGGGTTTCGAGTGAGTGAGGTCCGATGCAATTCCTTATTTTGACTTGTACCATATGTTCACGTGTTGTTTTAGGTGAACAGTTGACTTGCCTTTGCATGTATTTATGACGAGTGCTACCGGTTGGGCAAGATTCGCTTTTAGCGAACACCTGGTATCATCACTATTTGATTCATGGACACGTGCTCGTGATATGGTAGGATGCGTTCAATCGACTCTGCTTTTGAGATATCTAAAAATATGGATGTTTTGTCGCGTATATATTTAACGGTCTTTTGAACAGTTTTTCAGTCATATCACGGCGTGCCAGCTTCATGTGGGAGGAAACCCCGAATGAAGCAGATTTTGGACGTTCACTACAGTGGTAAAACCAACAAGCACAGGTAATATGCTGATGAGTCAGTGATTGTTCTAATTACACGGTTTCTAATTAACGTACTAAAAAAACAGCTACTTTATAAAAAAAAAATTGCTTATTTTTTTATTTTTTGCAAAACTAATATCAAAGTCTGTCCGAAAATATTCAACGACAATATTCTTATTGACAATATCATATTCTCTGTACCTTCTGGACCAGTTACTATCGATATTCTGAATCAGTTAATATCCATCTTCTGAAACGATTACTATCAATGCTATTAACCAGTTGCTATCTGCAACATTAGGTACACCTACATCGACCTCACACTTTCAGTACACCTGTACTAAGCCTAAAGTACACATACACCTACACTCACAGAACACCTAACATACACACATCGTACACCTAACATACACTCACAGTACACCTACACACACTGTACACCTAACCTGCACCCACAGTACACCTAACCTACATCCACAGTAAACCTACACATACAGTACACATAACCTACACCCACAGTACACCTACACACAAAGTTCACCTAACCTACACCCACAGTACACCTAACCTACATCAACAGTACACCTAACCTACACTCACAGTACACCTACACCCACAGTACACCTAACCTACACCCACAGTACACCTACACCCACAGTACACCTACACCCACAGAACACCTAACCTACACTCACAGTACACCTACATCCACAGTACCCCTACACCCACAGTACACCTAACCTACACCCACAGTACACCTACACCCACAGTACACCTAACCTACACCCACAGTACACCTAACCTACATCAACAGTACACCTAACCTACACTCACAGTACACCTACACCCACAGTACACCTAACCTACACCCACAGTACACCTACACCCACAGTACACCTAACCTACACTCACAGTACACCTACACCCACAGTACACCTACACCCACAGTACACCTAACCTACACACACAGTACACCTACACCCACAGTACACCTAACCTACACTCACAGTACACCTACACCCACAGTACACCTACACTCACAGTACACCTACACCCACAGTACACCTAACCTACACCCACAGTACACCTACACCCACAGTACACCTAACCTACACCCACAGTACACCTACACCCACAGTACACCTAACCTACACTCACAGTACACCTACACCCACAGTACACCTAACCTACACCCACAGTACACCTAACCTACACTCACAGTACACCTACACCCACAGTACACCTACACCCACAGTACACCTAACCTACACACACAGTACACCTACATCAACAGTACACCTACATCAACAGTACACCTAACCTACACTCACAGTACACCTACATCAACAGTACAGCTACATCCACAGTACACCTAACCTACATCCACAGTACACCTAACCTACATCCACAGTAAACCTACACACACAGTACACCTAACCTACACCCACAGTACACCTAACCTACATCCACAGCACACCTAACTTACACTCACAGTACACCTAACCTACACCCACAGTACACCTTACCTACACCCACAGTACACCTACACACAGTACACCTAACCTACACACACAGTACACCTAACCTACATCCACAGTACATCTAACCCTCACCCACAGTGCACCTACATCCACAGTACACCTTACCTACACCCACAGTACACCTACACACACAGTAAACCTAACCTACACACACAGTACACCTAACCTACATCCACAGTACATCTAACCCTCACCCACAGTGCACCTACATCCACAGTACACCTTACCTACACCCACATTACACCTACACACACAGTAAACCTAACCTACATCCACAGTACATCTACACACACAGTACACCTTACCTACACCCACAGTACACCTAACCTACATCAACAGTACATCTACACCCACAGTACACCTTACCTACACCCACAGTACACCTACACCCACAGTACACCTAACCTACACACACAGTACACCTACATCCACAGTACACCTACACACACAGTACACCTACATCCACAGTACATCTAACCCTCACCCACAGTGCACCTACATCCACAGTACACCTTATCTACACCCACAGTACACCTACACCCACAGTACACCTACATCCACAGTACATCTAACCCTCACCCACAGTGCACCTACATCCACAGTACACCTAACCTACACACACAGTACACCTAACCTACACACACAGTAAACCTAACCTACACACACAGTACACCTAACCTATATCCACAGTACACCTACACACACTGTACACCTAACCTACACCCACAGTAAACCTAACCTACACACACAGTACACCTAACTTATATCCACAGTACACCTACACACACTGTACACCTTACCTACACCCACAGTACACCTAACCTATATCCACTGTACACGTACACCCACAGTACACCTAACCTACACCCACAGTACCCCTACACCCACAGTACACCTTCACCCACAGTACCCCTACACCCACAGTACCCCTACACCCACAGTACCCCTACACCCACAGTACCCCTACACCCACAGTACCCCTACACCCACAGTACACCTAACCTACACTCACAGTACACCTAACCTACACTCACAGTACACCTAACCTACATCCACAGTACACCTAACCTACACTCACAGTACACCTAACCTACACTCACAGTACACCTAAACTTCCCTCACAGTACACCTAACCTACATCCAAAGTACACCTAACCTGCACCAACAGTACACCTACATCCACAGTACACCTAACCTGCACCAACAGCAAACCTACATCCACAGTGCACCTACATCCACAGTACACCTAACCTACATCCACAGTACACCTACATCCACAGTACATCAACAAACACAGTACACCTACAAACACTGTACACCTAACCTACATCCACAGTACACCTAACCTACATCCACAGTAAACCTACACACAGTACACCTAACCTACATCCATAGTACACATAAACACACAGTACACCTAACCTACACACACAGTACACCTAACCTACATCCACAGTACACCTAACCTACACCCAGAGTAAACCTAACCTACATTCACAGTACACCTAACCTATATCCACAGTACACCTAACCTAGACTCACAGTACACCTAACCTACACGCACAGTACACCTAACCTACATCCACAGTAAACCTACACACACAGTACACCTAACCTACATCAATAGTACACATAAACACACAGTACACCTACTTCAACAGTACACCTTACCTACACCCACAGTACACCTACACCCACAGTACACCTACATCCACTGTACACCTAACCTACACACACAGTAAACCTAACCTACACACACAGTACACCTAACCTATATCCACAGTACACCTACACACACTGTACACCTACACCAACAGTACCCCTACACCCACAGTACCCCTACACCCACAGAACCCCTACACCCACAGTACCCCTACACCCACAGTACACCTGCACCCACAGTACCCCTACACCCACAGTACACCATTCCCTCACAGTACACCTAACCTACATCCAAAGTACACCTAACCTGCACCAACAGTACACCCACATCCACAGTACACCTAACCTGCAACAACAGCAAACCTACATCCACAGTGCACCTACAAACACAGTACACCTAACCTACATCCACAGTACACCTACACCCACAGTACACCTACATCCACAGTACACCAACAAACACAGTACACCTACAAACACTGTACACCTAACCTACATCCACAGTACACCTAACCTACATCCACAGTAAACCTACACACAGTACACCTAACCTGCACCAACAGCACCCCTACATCTTCAGTACACCTATACACACAGTACACCTAACCTACATCAACAGTACACCTACATCCACAGTACACCTAACCTGCACCAACAGCACCCCTACATCCACAGTGCACCTACAAACACAGTACACATAACCTACATCCACAGTACACCTACACCCACAGTACACCTAACCTACATCCACAGTACACCTACATCCACAGTACACCTACATCCACAGTACACCTAACCTACATCCACAGTACACCTACATCCACAGTACACCTACATCCACAGTACACATAACCTACATCCACAGTACACCTACACCCACAGTACACCTAACCTACATCCACAGTACACCTAACCTACATCCACAGTACACCTACACCCACAGTACACCTAACCTACATCCACAGTACACCTACATCCACAGTACACCTACACCCACAGTACACCTAACCTACATCCACAGTACACCTACATCCACAGTACACCTACACCCACAGTACACCTAACCTACATCCACAGTACACCTACACCCACAGTACACCTACATCCACAGTACACCTACATCCACAGTGCACCTACATCCACAGTGCACCTACAAACACAGTACACCTACATCCACAGTACACCTACATCCACAGTGCACCTACAAACACAGTACACCTAACCTACATCCACAGTACACCTACACCCACAGTACACCTACATCCACAGTACACCAACACACACAGTACACCTACAAACACTGTACACCTAACCTACGTCCACAGTACACCTGCATGCACAGTACACCTAACGTACATCCACAGTACACCTAACCTACATCCACAGTAAACCTACACACAGTACACCTAACCTACATCCATAGTACACATAAACACACAGTACACCTAACCTACACACACAGTACACCTAACCTACATCCACAGTACACCTAACCTACACCCAGAGTACACCTAACCTACATCCATAGTAAACCTACACACAGTACACCTAACCTACATCCATAGTACACATAAACACACAGTACACCTAACCTACACTCACAGTACACCTAACCTACATCCACAGTACACCTAACCTACACCCAGAGTACACCTAACCTACATCCACAGTAAACCTACACACAGTACACCTAACCTACATCCATAGTACACATAAACACACAGTACACCTAACCTACACTCACAGTACACCTAACCTACACCCACAGGACACCTAACCTACACTCACAGTACACCTTACTTACACTCACAGTACACCTTACTTACACCCACAGTACACCTAACCTACATCCACAGTACACCTAACCTACATCCACAGTACACCTAACCTACATCCACAGTACACCTAACCTGCACCCACAGTACACCTAACCTACATCCACAGTACACCTACACCCACAGTACACCTACATCCACAGTGCACCTAACCTGCACCCACAGTACACCTAACCTACATCCACAGTACACCTACACCCACAGTACTCCTAACCTGCACCCACAGTACACCTAACCTACATCCAAAGTACACCTACACCCACAGAACACCTAACCTACATCAAAAATAAACCTACACACACAGTACACCTAACCTACATCCACAGTACACCTAAACACACAGTACACCTAACCTACACTCACAGTACACCTACACACACAGTACATCTAACCTGCACCCACAGTACACCTAACCTACATCCACAGTAAACCTACACACACGGTACACCTAACCTACACACACAGTACACCTAACCTACACTCACAGTACACCTAACCTACACCCACAGTACACCTAACCTACATCCACAGTAAACCTACACACACAGTACACCTAACCTACATCCACAGTACACCTAAACACACAGTACACCTAACCTACACACACAGTACACCTAACCTACATCCACAGTACACATAACCTACACCCACAGTACACCTAACCTACACTCACAGTACACCTACATCCACATTACACCTACACACACAGTACACCTACATCCACAGTGCACCTAACCTGCACCCACAGTACACCTAACCTACATCCAAAGTACACCTACACCCACAGAACACCTAACCTACATCCACAGTAAACCTACACACACAGTACACCTAACCTACATCCACAGTACACCTAAACACACAGTACACCTAACCTACACACACAGTACACCTAACCTACATCCACAGTACACATAACCTACACCCACAGTACACCTAACCTACACTCACAGTACACCTACATCCACATTACACCTACACACACAGTACACCTACATCCACAGTGCACCTAACCTGCACCCACAGTACACCTAACCTACATCCAAAGTACACCTACACCCACAGAACACCTAACCTACATCCACAGTAAACCTACACACACAGTACACCTAACCTACATCCACAGTACACCTAAACACACAGTACACCTAACCTACACTCACAGTACACCTACACACACAGTACATCTAACCTGCACCCACAGTACACCTAACCTACATCCCCAGTAAACCTACACACACAGTACACCTAACCTACACACACAGTACACCTAACCTACACTCACAGTACACCTAACCTACACCCACAGTACACCTAACCTACATCCACAGTACAGCTAAACACACAGTACACCTACAGTACACCTACATCCACAGTACACCTACACACACAGTACACCTACACACACAGTACACGTAACCTACACCCACAGTGCACCTACACACACAGTACACCTAACCTACACACACAGTACAACTACACACACAGTACAACTACACACACAGTACACCTAACCTACACACACAGTACACCTACACCCACAGTACACCTAACCTACACCCACAGTACACCTACACACACAGTACACCTAACCTACACACACAGTACACCTACACACACAGTACACCTAACCTACATCCACAGTACACCTAACCTACATCCACAGTACAGCTAAACACACAGTACACCTACAGTACACCTACACCCACAGTACACCTACACACACAGTACACCTAACATACATCCAAAGTACACCTACACCCACAGAACACCTAACCTACATCCATAGTACACCTAACCTACACTCACAGTACACCTAACCTACACTCACAGTACACCTTACCTACACTCACAGTACAGCTAAACACACAGTACACCTACAGTACACCTACATCCACAGTACACCTACACCCACAGTACACCTAACATACATCCAAAGTACACCTAACCTACATCCACAGTACAGCTAAACACACAGTACACCTACAGTACACCTACATCCACAGTACACCTACACCCACAGTACACCTAACATACATCCAAAGTACACCTACACCCACAGAACACCTAACCTACATCCATAGTACACCTAACCTACACTCACAGTACACCTAACCTACACTCACAGTACACCTTACCTACACTCACAGTACACCTAACCAACACCACAGTACACCTTACCTACACCCACAGTACACCTAACCTACACCCACAGTACACCTAACCTACACCCACAGTACACCTACACCCAGCAACATTCCCGCATTACGAAGACAGCATGTAAATAATCGAGTCTGGACCAGACAATAAAATGATTGTATTTGTGATCGACGAATCACGCCGTCTTGTGAGTCCCCACGCAGTAACAGGTTGACAAAACTTGAAAGTAAACGTGTACTAAATAACATATGGACGCCCCTCACCCCCACCCTATCATACCCTTCCCCACCCCACCTGGTCGTATTTAACGTTAACCCCGAAACATATTTAGATAAACTCTGTGTTAACGTAATTTTGTTCATCTAAGATATTTCCTCTGTATGCTCAAGCCTTGGTCCAGTTGGCTGTAATTTAGTCAGTGACCCATGCAGTTTGACCTAAACAGACACTGGCCATCCTTTGTGGTGAACTGACCAGACAGCTGACCATCTGGGCTGGAGGACAAAGACTTCACGCAAAGCTAATGCCCTAAGCACCGCCTTGGTGGCGTCGCGTTATTGGAAGTCGAGCTATTCCCATTGACTCAAGTAATGCAGCGTGTGTTGAATATATTCTTTGAGATGATGTGGAGTAATATTGTGACAAAGACGGTTTCAGATAACGACAAGAGCATGATCTAATACAAATGTCAGAGAGTATCTGTTCCTGTAGTGAAATGTTGCATTAATGTCTCTAAGGAAATGATTCCCATGGAACCTTTTTTTACCAAGAAACTATTTCCACGATACATTTACACTGGTTATGTTTGTAATTTAAACTTAAACCCTATAAATAAATAAATAAATAAATAAATAAATAAATAAATAAATAAATAAATAAATAAATAAAGGGAGCAGAAAAAACTATAACAAATAGCACAAGGTATACCTGTGATTCTAAACACACGCGCGCGCGCGCGCGCGCACCCACTTGCACAAAAGGCTGGTTGCTAGAGCTGAAGGGACAAGAATGGCATCGGAGTGATTGTGTCATACAATATATGCTCTGTACGGTATGTAATGATCATGAGGAGAACTACACGACCTAACCGTTATTACCATGCCGTGATAAAATGTCATTCAGTAACTGGTAAATCTCCGCTCCGAAAATTGTGTCAATTATCCATAAACTACATGATATATAACATGGCGGGCGCAACAGCATCGCCAGTGCTCAATGCGGTTTAATTGGCCTGTTGTGGCCAGGGACATCGGTAACTGTTGGTTCGACTACACTGGGTGCCATTTCTTTATGGCCGAGTCTGACGGAATGGTAAACAAGAATTCAAAAGTGGCATCCACGCACAGCGACAGATGAACGAGCTTATTAAACACAGAGCAGCGAACCGTGTCACGCTATGAATAAGTCTTCTGCCTCGCTTTATGCACCAAGCATTTGAACCAACCGTTGGTAAGCAGAAGAAATGCTGATCTTACCAGCATCAGAGAGAGAGAGAGAGCGGTTCACATACCGAGAATAGGACGTTGAATCCAACAAGCAAATACTTGATGCAGGTGTAACATCCTCCCAAACCCATGGCTACTGGATCCTTTATCGTCTCAGGAATATGGTAAACACTAGCGCCAGGCTCCAGCAGCTGCTATACCCACGACTGAGCGTTGATCTAGGCTGGCGGATGTGACGTGATGACGCGACTCGCAGTGGTCTATTTATAAACTGACATCGATCTTAAAGCGCTGTTCATGTACACTTGACTTAATCGTGTGTGGATACAAGAAATGTCAGACGAATTAATACATAAATACATAAGAACATAATATATAAATGAAATATTGAACTTGGAAGACATACAAAGCCACCAACCCCACTACATCAGAAGCTATGCTCTACATGTTCAACCATTGATGATGAAAAACACTACCTACTTCACTGAACCAAACACACTCGAAACTCTTTTGAAAAAATTATCCACACAAAACATAAATTTCCACAAACATGAAAACAAATTATTTCATCCCCTCAAATAAGGAAGCCATCAATATCAATTGCATTTGTTTCCATGTCTATCATTTCAAGCAATAAATACCCCTTGATCTTAATCAACCGATGACATTTTATATATAATATCATCAAATATGTAATATTGATATTTATATTTTGTAATTAGTTTTTATGTTTACAGGAATTTATGTTTGTCTGTATATATGTATATATGAATCATAATGTTTTGTCATTCGCGATCGGGTAGCCTAGTGCTTAAAGCGTTCGCTCGTCACGCCGAAGACCCGGGTTCGATTCCCGACATGGGTACAATGTGTGAAGCCCATTTCTGGTGTCCCCCGCCGTGATATTGCTGGAATATTGCTAAAAGCGGCGTAAAACCATAATCACTCACTCACTCACTGTCATTTTAAACAAATTGCATCTGTTCTGTAATGGAATGTTTCTGCAATAAATATTATCTTATCTACATGTTCAGTGCTAGCCTTTAGGATGGGTTGGCCCCTTAAATAAATGTCAAATCTACAAATATGACATAGAGATTATTAGCCATATAAATATGCTGTTGCAATTTTAGACGGCATTACTTTACAGAGGCCATCGTTTTTCTAAACAAATATGCAACTGATGTTTAAACAGTTTATGTTTACATGAATTTCATATAAGGAAAAAACCGTGCAACTTACAAAATTGACCATATCGAAATATGATGATGATAAGTGAGTGATTATGGTTATACGCCGTTTTTAACAATATTCCAGCAATCTCACAGCAGGGAACACCGAAATAGGCTTCGCGCATTGTGCCCATGTGGGAATCGAACCCGGGTCTTTGGCGTGAAGAGCGAACGCTTTAACCACTGGATGATGATGATGATGATGATTGATGATGATTGATGATGATGATGATGACGATCACATACTTACTTTAAATATAGAATCACAAGCAAGAGGGTGCTTGAGTGAGTGAGTTAGTGAATTTCAGTTATGTCACGGCGTGTCAGCTTGATGCGGGAGTAAGACCACCTCTTTCAATGTATATTTATATCTACCTCTATTTTAACTGCAGAATATTTGTTGATTTTAATCTCTGGCTAAACTTGCAACTATCACCGGTAACTTGGGTAAAGGTGTAAATCCTGCTGGGGAACCATGCAGGTAGCAGAGGTACAGTAAGTCCCCTTGGTCCCTAGTATGGTGACCTTAACCTTGTTGCTGGTGATCTATAGCCCCATTTTTATATTGTGTCGTATCCAACTGTTCAAATAGTTTTAATGTTCTACAACTAGTTTTAAGTCAATCTGTGATATATTGCTAGTTATTCTACTGTCCTTCGTCGACAGTTTTTTATTAATCTTGTCCAACTCTTTCAAGTCACATTATGGCTGAAATATTGCCGACGTGACTTTAATTAAACTCACTCACTCACTCACTCATTGATGCGGGAGGAAAGCCCGAAGTGATGCAGTTCTCAGACGTTTAGCACTTTAGTAAAACCAACCATTTGTTGCCAGTCCCCGGGCAAAACCATGTAAACCGAGAACAGTGGCATCTGTCCACCCGCCGATATGGGCACTGAGTGTTGCCCCCATTTCCAGATTCCTCTTTACACACTGTCCTTGTTTTCTGACGGGTGCTTGCTGTCTCGAGAGGATTACAAGTGCATTGAAGGAATCAGATCTGAATTGTGCTGACAAACCTAGAACCATTATCAGGGAGAACCGTGGCCCCAATATTGATGAGAAATGTAAACATGTCTGAATAGATTGTAATACATGTGATTGGATGACTGCAACATCATTAAAATTATTATGTTGTTTACCATGAAGGTCAGACTCGAGTAAGAATTAAAAGGCCTTGACTAGACACATATACTGTGGAATTGGTATTTTTGACACTTTTGAAATCGTGGTCCTTGATTCATGCGATAGATAGTATCAGGACTGCTTAAAAAATCAATAGTATTTGCAGCAATGTTTGTTTGCAGAAAAAAGGCCGGGACACCTTGCTATAATAACTTATTGAGCAAGTAGGTGTCGCATCAATGTATGCTGATATCTCAGGTATAACAACACTTGGAGTATGACGACACACCTGTATTAGTTGTGAGGTGTATATTACCCCACCTGCTTATATCTCAGGTATAACAACACTTGGAGTATGACGACACACCTGTATAAGTTGTGAGGTGTATAGTACCCCACCTGCTGATATCTCAGGTATAACAACACTTGGAGTATGACGACACACCTGTATTAGTTGTTAGGTGTATAGTACCCCATCTGCTGATATCTCAGGTATAACAACACTTGGAGTATGACGACACACCTGTATTAGTTGTTAGGTGTATAGTACCCCATCTGCTGATATCTCAGGTATAACAACACTTGGAGTATGACGACTTACGTGTATTAGTTGTTAGGTGTATAGTACCCAACCTGCTGATATCTTAGGTAGAGCAACACTTGGAGTATGACGACACACGTGTATTAGTTGTTAGGTGTATCATACCCCACCTGCTGATATCTCAGGTATAGCAACACTTGGAGTATGACGACACACCTGTATTAGTTGTTTTGTTATAGTACCCCATCTGCTGATATCTCAGGTATAACAACACTTGGAGTATGACGACACACCTGTATTAGTTGTTATGTGTATCGTACCCCACCTGCTGATATCTCAGGTATAACAACACTTGGAGTATGACGACACACCTGTATTAGTTGTGAATTATATAGTACCCCATCTGCTGATATCTCAGGTAGAGCAACACTTGGAGTATGACGACACACCTGTATTAGTTGTTAGGTGTATAGTACCCCATCTGCTGATATCTCAGGTATAACAACACTTGGAGTATGACGACACACCTGTATTAGTTGTTAGGTGTATAGTACCCCATCTGCTGATATCTCAGGTATAACAACACTTGGAGTATGACGACACACCTGTATTAGTTGTTAGGTGTATAGTACCCCATCTGCTGATATCTCAGGTATAACAACACTTGGAGTATGACGACTTACGTGTATTAGTTGTTAGGTGTATCGTACCCCACCTGCTGATATCTCAGGTATAACAACACTTGGAGTATGACGAAACACCTGTATTAGTTGTTAGGTGTATAGTACCCCATCTGCTGATATCTCAGGTATAACAACACTTGGAGTATGACGACTTACGTGTATTAGTTGTTAGGTGTATCGTACCCCACCTGCTGATATCTCAGGTAGAGCAACACTTGGAGTATGACGACACACGTGTATTAGTTGTTAGGTTTATAGTACCCCAGCTGCTGATATCTCAGGTATAACAACACTTGTAGTATGATTACACACCTGTATTAGTTGTTAGGTTTATAGTACCCCACCTGCTGTTAGCTGAGGTATGGCAATACAAGGAGTAAGTTGTAAAACGATGTACAAAAATAAACTCACTCAATGACTCATACAAAAATACAGCAAGAAGAATGTTGAATGCCCCTTTCCTTCTTGAGTGCAAAATCAGTTCTGCTTGAAGCGCTCTTAAAATCTCCAACATCATCATAATAGACGTCAAGTATCCAAAATGATACAGATCCCCTTGACCCCAAATCAATCCTTATTATTATATGTATCTCTCATCTCCATACTCAGCTTCAGAGTAGGGAGTGGATGGAAGATTTAAAAAAAAATTTAAGTAGAATTTAATAAATGCCATACATGTAGGTTGAGAAAACATGAACTGTATGAGAGGCATTTGGAAGTGTTATATAATTAGGAATATTATAGATCACAACATAATACATTTTTTGTCTATAATACTCATAACTAATTAAAATGTCTGTTTAACATGATTCACAATTTAATCGTTATTGTGGCATCGGTTGCTGTTGCATCGGTTTTGGAGCTTCAAAGACGGAAGTCTCCGAGCCTGACCAAAGTCTTACGGCCAGCATACGTTATATTGGGTTCTATTCCATACACGGCCATGATGACTTAGATCACTGCAGATGGCTGGTTTGTCTGGTCCAGACTCGATCATTTGCAGGCAGCAAAGTGCCAGCTACATAATGATCCATTCACCCAACTTCCCATCTACGGAAGGGATATTTCTCTTTGCTTCCTCACTAAACTCGTATCTGCTCAAGGATTGCCCTTAAACATTATCAAGAGATGAGGTGAAATGGGGTTTAACGTCGCGTCCAACATTATTGCACTTAAATAGCGACGTGCATGCATGCATGTGTGTGTGTCTGCTTGTACTAGTCCGGACTGACTTACAGTGTTGGCACGCTGAGATACCATGCCGCAGTTTAACATGAATACCCCACTCAGACACAGTACACTGACTCCGAGCCGACCAGTCCTTGTTTTAGCCCCTTGATGCCGAGCGCCAGACAGGGTAACAACAAGTGCCATCTTTTAAAGTCTTTTGGTATGACGCGACCGGGTATCGAACCCCGGACCTTCCGCTCTCCGGGCGGACGCTCTACTACTAGACCACGGAGGCGGTCGAAAAAAAAACAACATTATCCGACGTTGATAATCTTTCACCACAAATAAACAAAATTCATTTTAGAATCATATTTATTCATATTCACCCGCTCAGAAATTTATGAGGGATACATATTTTTTTTATCAAGATCACGTGAACCAATCTGATCTCAACATTCTGACATGGAGACAAGATGATTTATCTTGTCCTG